CGATCGGGCGAGCTCTGCCCGAGCGAACCCGAGTACAATCCAGCTTTCTTCTCCTTTAAAATCGAAACCTTTCTAGATCAAAACCTACACATATAGAAACTCCCACAAGAATAAAATATCCTCTCCTTACCTCTCTAAAATAAAACAAACGAAAACACAAAAATTAGAAAAGACTAAAATAAAAATAATGAAATACGGGTTGCCTCCCGTAAAGCGCTAGTTTATCAAGGTCTTAAGCTTGACCATTCTCCTTCCATCAGAAGAACTTAACGCCTTGAGTAACTTATCATACGCTCCTGCAAACATTTCATTAAGCACTATATAGGGCTCAATTGCAAGCACAGTAATCCTTACATAGAAAAGATTAGGAGCACACAAAGAAAACTCAAGGTAAAAAGAAAAATCAAAAGAAAAAGATGAAGATACACCACAACCTTCTGCTTCCTCCGCTAAAAATTTAGAATTAATAGAACGAACATGGAGGTAGTCTTGTTCTGTATCATCACCCAATAACGACTCTATTATTTTACGCTCACGAATAAGTTCATTACCAAAGGAAAAAGAATTTTCAACCATTGGTTCTACAACCAATGACTTTTCAACCAATGGTTCTACAACTAATGATTCTTCTTCTATTGGAACCAATGATACCTCAACCACTGATTCTATAACCAATGACTCTTTAACCATCGGTTTTTCAACAAATGATTCTTCCTCCGACGTATTATACAAATTATGATAATATTCATCATGAATCCTCCAATAAATTTCATTTAGAACAAACTGTTTTTCAGAATAATCATATACGAATGGAAAGATTCTAAAATCATCCGGAGCTCGAACAAAATACTCACTATAAGGGCAATCAGGGTTTTCATGATAAAGATAATAACAAGAACAATGGCCAGATGCAAGACGTGACAATAAATCATCCATCTCCAAGGCATGTATATCATCAACTCATAAGATAAAAAGAAGTTAATAATAGCCAAAGCAACAAACCAAAAGCTTAGCAAAAAAAACGAATCACAAATAATTAGATGAAAACCGTTAGTCCCCGGCAACGGCGCCAAAATTTGATAGGCTTATCGCGTACCTAACAAAAATAACCTAACTATTCCTTCTAACTGTGTAGTAGGGCAAGTAAGGATCGAATCCCAAGAGACTATGGTTCATTCAATTAATCAGACTCAATTAATCACTAAGCACGTGACCAATCAATAATGGATGATAATAATCAACTAATTTATTAAATAACACAATTAACTAGAGGAAATATTAATCAATAAACTAAAGCATCCAAGATCAAGCATCACCACGATTATGATTGATAAACTAATAAATCTACCCCCAATATATAAATCAATTGACAAGAAGAAAAGCAATCCCTAATAATAATACCAAAGGTCTCTTCCGAGTTATCAATGGCTTCCCAAATTAACTATCAAGCCTACTTCCGTGGAATCAAGCGAATAAGGGACATTAAACACCATGCCTAGATTCCTAATTATTCAATCATCTACTTCCGTGATGATCTTCAAACCCTTAATTGAAATAACCTAATCCCGTTAATACCCAACTTCCGTTGCAATAAGAACAAAGGGATGATAACAATACTAATTATCCCTAATCTAGTATTGGCATAAACACAATCAATTAAGCATGTCAATTGGGATTATTATTGGGGAATTTAAAGATCTACTTTATACATCAATCATAATCGGGCTTAGCAAGATCCCGGATTAAGGAAACTACTCACAAATCATAATTAAATCAAAAACAAGATCTAATAGAGAACACATAATTAAAGAACTATAAAATAAATAAAAGAGATGGAAAGTAAGAAATACCAAATACTTCAATTGATGATCTTGAATTCTTGAGGAACAATTAATAAAACTAGGATTAAAGATTGAAATTGCTTAAGAAAATAAAACTAGGGTTCTTGAGAGTTTTCTAGGGCTTAAGGAGAAAACTAATGAAAAACTAACTGTCTAAAAGTTAATTACAAAAGGGTATTTATACCCCCAAAAGATAATATTTCGGAAAAATAAGAAAATACGCGTTCTTGAGCTTTGCCCGGTCTGACCGGGCGGACCTCGCCCGATCGGGCGGAGGAAGGCTGCGTAAAATACGACAGTTTTCCTTCTTTGCCCGGTCTGACCGGGCGAACCTCGCCCGGTCGGGCGCGCGTAACACGTTTCCAAAATTGCATCTCATAACTTGATTTCTTCATCGCCCGGTCTGACCGGGCGAAGCCTGCCCGATCGGGCGCGCGTTGCACCGTTCAGAATTGGGCTTCTTCCTGTGAACTCCTCATTGCCCGGTCTGCCCGGGCAAGCCATGCCCGGTCGGGCATTCCACATAAATTGCAGTTCTTGGCTATCAACTCTTCCGAATCTACTAAAAACACGTCCAATTGCCTAGAAACGCTTCATATTCCTGAAAAGCTTACTAAAACAATCGAATACACTAAAGAAGAGATTGTTAGCAAGAAATAGCTCCGTAGAGCTCAAAACCATGTAAAATCATGCAATCAAACCGGGGAAAACCATTGTATAAAACACGTATATCACCCTGCCAAACTGCGGTCTGGGTAGCTGCAATTTTGTAGGAATTGGAAGAAAATTCTGTAATTTCGTAGGTAGTGTAAGCAATTTTGTAGGAAGTGGAGATCTCTGAAGATGGTAAGCGAGTTTAAAGTAGCAGAGGCTAGATTACTTTATAATAGGAGAATTGTGATTCCTAGGAATTTCAAGCAGAAAATACAAAGGTTGCTCAAAGCCGGCCGACTAATAGGCAAAAGAAAATCTAGCTTAGTGCGGGTTCCCTGGATGGGCTTCCATATTTGAGCCATGGGGTGTATCTTTAGAGGAAATTCTTCCCCTGGGAAGGCCCCTTTACTTTTTAATAAACTCTCATAATGACGAGTGAAAGGTGCCTTTACATTTTACTGAACTCTCTTAAAACAAGGGCATGCCCCCACTCCGGGGTTCCTGAAGCAAGCACTTTGCATACTGTATGAAAGTCTTAGACACGTCAGCTGGTGGAGGTTGTGGCCATGGTCTCTGTTATAGGCCCTTTTTTTATTTTTTTATTTTTATGTATCTTATATAGGGATTTCTAACTTCTCACTATACCTATTCCATGGGCTGCTCCCTATAAAGGGCGAGGAGCTTGCGATGTCCTGCATAGGAAGAGGCTTAAGCAGAGGCAAAGAAAGAGCTCCTTTTAAACAGTGGGAAGCCATTCTATCCTAAATGCTTCTTTTCCTCCTTGCCATCACCTGTATATTACTCTATGAATACCAGTATACCGCAACCTGCCTATTAGTGGACACAAGAAGACTTAAACCTGTCTTTGTTTGACTGCTAATTGGTTCTGAGTAGGAATGCGCAAGGCATGCCAACAGTAGAAGACCTCATCTAAAAGCCTTGTCGGACTCTTCCTCTTCATCTGCCTTGGCAATTATGGGATGTCAATTATGGCAAGAAAGACAGCCATTTTAGTGGTCCTAAATGTCGAAATGTGCCCATTATATGGAACTCACACACCCCATTTCCATGAGAGATAGTCTTACTGCATGAGTTCCCAGAATCTGTTATTTGATTAGAGACTGAATATTCAAGAGATTGTCCTGGAAAGAAATTTTCTCAAACTGCAACAAACATCACTAAAGCAAAGCCTAGCCCTAACAGTGCCCCCCCCCCTCCCCCCAACAAAAAAAAAAAAAAAAAAAAAAAATAAAATAAATAAATCCTCCGTCTTAAGGTTGAGTTTGGGTGTGATATTTACTCTCTTGCATTGGCATAATTGAATGAAGCTAAATTCTCTTTTAAAAAGCTGAATTTATCCCTTCCCTGCTGCAGCATAGTGAGTTTGTATGATATTTTTAGTATTTCTTGTTATGTGCTTCATTGTGTGATTCTCATGTACAATAACAGATCCTTGAACACTTGGCTGAACTGAAGTCTCCATGGAACTGCCCACATGGAAGACCAACCATGCGCCATTTAGTCAACTTGGGTGTAATTTACGAGAGAGAAAATCCGGAAATTACTAGTTTGTGATGGACATTGGTGGTATTTATCTCTCCAGTCTCAACTAATGTGATGCAATTTTGTCAGTTGCCATGTACAGTTTTGTAAAGATAACGTACTTGGATCCGAATGCATGGATAATTTGATCAATATTTCTTAAGAAAGTGTGTCAGGCATATAATTTGTTGAATATTTGATAACCCTGCTTTTATACCATTAAGGCATCAAATTTGCCCAAACTCATGTCTAACGTTGGTGAAATATTGAAGTAACTGATCAAGGTTATGAGAATCAAGAACTTACGTTCCTTAGGAAGAAGACCAGGAAGGCAGCATTGTATATGGGGTTGATCAACTGGGAGCATATAGTTGCAGTTTTTTCATTACTCTTCCGGTATTCGGAACAGCAGGAGCCACTTAACAAACAATAGTGATAGAAAGCTGTGGAAAAACTACTGGGTTATATGCGTTGCAGGAGCCAGTTTTTTTATGAATGTATCTGAATTTTCGCAGGCTAGCACAATACGTGCAATGGAGACCAGCAAATCCGATACAAGTCATACAAGATTGGATTGAATTTTTGTTTTTAGACTACTGCATAAATGAGTTTTAGTTGTAAATTTCACTAACTAGTGGCTGTATATATATTACTCTGTGATTAAAGTTTTAGTTCCCTCTTTGACTTTTCGCACTATTTACATGTCTTATTACCTTTGACCAATACTTTGAATAACATTATTAAAATTGGATGGACACTAAATAAAAATCCTTGAACTTTTGACAGATTTACATAAGCTCATAAACTGTTTTTTCCCCCTCTTTTTTAATCGTCACAATGCATTAGAAAAGTAAATTATAGTTTTTTTTTTTTTTTTGAAAGAAGTAAATTATAGTTATTTATCAATTAAGATGTCTTTAGTTCGACTAATTCGTAATATAAACAAAAAAAAAAATCATAATTATTGGCAGGAGAAATAATAAATAGTGTGAGACTGATATAAGTTAGAACAAGTTAATAGATACGTCATTGGGAAGAAAAAATAGATAGGGATTGACTCAAGATAATGTAAAGGAAAGGAAGTGAGTAATATATTTATCAAGTGAACCCCCATCATAATCTCAGCGAAGCACATTTACCATGAACACCACTCTAAGACCAACCCAAAGCACATTTGAGAAAATTATGAATTATTTCAAGTAATCAATTGCTATCATACAATAACATAATGTTGAAACTATGAACTAATCGAAGAGATTATAAACTAATATGATCTTAAGCTATAGCAAGGGATTTAGAACTTAAAAATTGTCATGACCTTCACAAAAATAAGCTAATGTTTTAAACTACGTAGTATAATGAATGAATTGAGATAAATACTAGAAAATTGCAATTGCTTATTGCTCTAAACTAGAACATAATTATACTTGAGTAACGATAATGGCTTAACTACACAAGCTAATGTGTAAACCTTTCTTGACACAATGACACCTATATTGTTTATCAAAATCAATGAAATGGCGGTATATGATGTTCTCTTAAGACTGCAAAACATGAGACTCGTGTCCCTTTTTAATGGAAATTGTCCATATTAGATCTGCATCAGAACGAACAGATACAATATCTCCAGTCACTATGTTTGATGTACTTAACAAACCGCCAAACATCATCTCCGTGTCATCTGAAAAAATCAGAGGAAAATTGTGTTAAACAATGTAAAACATACAGACCACCGAAAGAGTATATAAACTACAGAGATAAGCAATATACACATTACACACATGTTTATCTCTTGTATCACCAGAGCTATTCAATTGTACCAACCACTCACAATTAAGGGTGTGACGGGATGTTTCAGGTCCACAGTTCAATAATAAATCATTACTGCTATACAAGGCAATCTTCGATAATTCTAAAATAAGATGTGGATCAATTCTGAACAAAGGGAGCAAATGAATTCAATAGACCTGCTTAGCACATGCTAGTCTTTAAGTTGTTAACTTCCCTACTTCCCAATAATAACTTCTCATGCATGGCAGTGTCATCTGCCGACAAAACCTGGACTACGCATGACTACCATTCATTACATAAGAATGGCACTAAAAATCATTCCTGAAGAATGACAATTACTTGACAATAGTCTGTAGTACCTTAGGCAGCAAAATTTAGTTCTATAATCTATTATAGGCATATATAAGTAGTTCACATAGATACCGAATACGGTAATTCCCAAGTAACTTCTACAGCCACTTTCGTAGAGGATAAAAGAAACAGGGGAAACATGCTGTTGGTTTAATAATATCTCTTTCCAAATAAGGCAAATTATAGTAAGCTAAGGGAGATATAAAGAGCAACATACAAAGAAAGTCTTGCATCATTATTTGAAGTTGTTACACACAACACACCCACTCAGAGCAAGTAAAAGAGAGAAAGTCTTGCATCATTATTTGAAGTTGTTACACACAAAACACCCACTCAGAGTAAGTAAAAGAGATATTCTATAATAAGGGTGATACAAAATTAAGACTTCTTACTCCATACAGAGGTCATACCATAAAACCACTTGAGCTAATACGAATAAATTTTTTTTTTTTATTGCATACAGTCATACAGAGTATCATACCATAAAACCACTTGAGCAGTTGAGCTTAGTTAAGGTGATACGAATTTAAGAGATCATAAGGTTACAAAGTTCTAATACGGGCTAATAAATTCAATTTGCAACTAAAGTAAGTTTAGCCATGGCAGATAAATTCATATAAATTCAAACTAGGTCTAATAGTTCATACAATTATATTAGATACATTCAAGCAAATCTAAGAGTTATCAAAACAGGAGGGTAAAAAAAGTCAATCAAAACCAAGAGAAAAATGAATGTAGCAAATTGATTGACATGCTATTTAGAATGAGGATCTTGATTGGGCTAAAATCAACTGAGTTATGTGAACACCTAATACGAATAGCATTTCTGCTATTTGCAAAGTTCATGGCTTCTCTCTTCAATGATGTACATTCTAATACACTTCATGTCTCATATATGGGTGCAAACAGAAGCAAATGCAAGATAAGAGGAAAGAAAAGGGAACTAAATGAGATAATATTGACCAATAAGTTAACATTTACTCAGCAAAAACTAATTACGACAATAACAGAGAAACCAAAATCCCAAAATGAACCATGCAAATAGCGCACAAACATCTACTTACTGAGGTTCCATTTCAATCCAGAGGTTGTGGTATGAAAAGCAGGCATTCCTATTGGTAATAATCCACAATGCGGCCCAACAACAGAAGTCTGAATATGGATCTCATGATGATGAGTTTTAGGGAGAAGTTGGATCAAGCAGTCATCTGAAAGAAGGATTACTCTCAAGTTAGAGAATCGATAAAGGACATTAATGTTCCCAGCTTCATGATCAAAGCGTCCACCAAGTGCTCCGGTAACAAGAATGCATAGCTGCAAAGTGAGTAAATCAACCAATCAACTCTAACTGTGGAGAAAAAGCCCCGGTATTTGACTCATTGTCCCAAGTTGATGAAATATATAAACATAGTATGTATTCTTATTGCACCTAAACAGATAAGGATGCAGGCATAGCATGATACAATGGCTTTAAACTAAACACGAGGAGGTAAATGATGCAAAGCTCAAGAGCAGTTTAACCAACTTACATCTGATTTCTCAGATTGTGGAGTCAAATTACTGAGATGTGATATACACTTGTGAAGGTCTGTGGTGTCTTGGTCATGAGATTCATTTATTGCATCACACCCCTGACAGCAAAAAAAACCGGCAACAATGTCAGCAATAAGCCAAGAGAATTATGCACATTTAAAAAAGAATGTGAGCCACATAGCTAAACATCCAAGTAGAAATCAAGTACGTAGCAGAAAAAAAAGTATTAGCTCATGTTCTCAGGCAATTGCCATAAGCAGCAGCATACTAACAGAGAAAAAAAAAATTTATTTTTTTTTTAATTAAAAAACGATCCAAAAAACAGAAATAAAAAATCCCAGACGTCTAACACAGCATCAAGAAAAACAGTAATGACTTTAAACAGCTGCAATTCTATATAAGCAGATTGTCACCATGCAAGGGAACATATTGTCACCATGTGTGTGTGTGTGTCACCGTGTGTGTTGTGTTGTGTGTGTGTGTGTGTCACCATGTGTGTTGTGTGTGTGTGTGTGTGTGTGTGTGTGTGTGTGTGTGTGTGTACAACGGGTGACATCATAAATATATACAGCAAGCCAACAAACTTTCCTAAGAGCATGTTCTTAGAATGATCCTATTGATAAAACCACTTACCAAATTTGTGTAAAAATCCAGAATATCTGCTCTGACGGAGTCCATGTCACCTTTAATTAAATCTGGTATATACCTGTAACAAATCCAAATCTTAAATCAACTTAAGGAAACAAAATCTTAAGTGGTTACAAACACAAATAAAAGATCCAAGTAACAAAATTAATCAAAATGACAGGTACATATACTATTCATTCAAAGGGTAGCTAATTCGTCAGTGCTTGTATAAACACAAAATGTTTTAGGGGTCTAGGGAATGTCTTGATCATGCAAGCACCCTAGTTATGGTTCCATTTCAGCAGCAGCACACACCACACATACACACACAAGGCAACTTCAAAGTTGATCCATAATGATTGATTTGATTCCAAATAACAGCTAAGGCCTAAATCACAGTTCTCTAATTATTCTCCCAAGGTTCAAATTTAATGATAGCAAATAGCATCTTATTGTCCTTCAACATTTTCTATCCATATCATTCCTTTAGTTCCTACGAAACTAGGACAACTCACAATATTAAACTCCAACCAATACAAACTAACAAACCATTTCGAGCATAAGTAAATCACACCCACCATATAAGTATAGCTATATGCCTAAAAGTTTCACTGTCCCATAATCATGCATCGTTTGTTCGATGGACTGATGTGGTAGTAACATGTCATTTCCTTCTTCCAAAATAAGACCCCCTCCCTTCTCTTTTTTCAATGTCATAATATACATTTTTCTACAATGCAGCTACAATATCTCAGAGATCAAACACATTGCAAAGCTTAACCTACTTGAGAGAAAAGAACCAACTTTAACCAATATCAAAGATCAATTCACATGATTTTGAACCAGAGTCTATACTAGTGTTTACTTAGAACCACTAATCCACTACTAGCTTAACTTATTTTTCATATAATTGACCGCAAGTTATTTCATGAAATACATGAGCAAGTCAAATCGCTGTAGTAATTGTTAGGCTCTTTTTTCTTCAATGCAGACAAAATGCCACATTAAGTAAATATATACACAGCTATTATATCCAATCAACCCCCAACAAACACACATTTATCACTCTAAAAACCATCGTTCACTAATAATGAGGTCATTTAAGTATGCTATTTATACTAATCAGCCTAATTGAAAGGATTAAGACATTGACAAAATAAAGTGGTCCAAGAAGCTAGTTGAAATAAGGTTTCTACTATTCTCCAAACAACCAAACATCATCTTAACCCTGTGAGCTGTTAACAGGCAAGTTCATACCAGTTTTCTTCAGATCGTATTAAATGAATTTAATTGGTAACAAAAGAAGCAGACCTTCCCACCACACCAGCAAATCAAATATTGCAATGAATATGCTTAACTTCTACGAACACGTCACATAGTCCGGGACTCTGGGTATACGGATGCCAAGCCAAGTTGGACCAAATCTTTACACCCAACTTAGAAATAAAGGAAGAACTCGTTTACATAAACAGATTCAATCCTAGGATTATTATGCCTCTTTTACAAAAATTATATAATCGGCCTCTTATTAAACTCCCTTCAATAAACTGAATTCATAAATATACAGATAGGCCACTTATTCAAATAAATGGAGTATCATAACAATTCAACCTGACATGCTACTTTAACCATTACTCAAGCCAACTAATATAGCATTCATCATTTTTATAATTAAAAACAATCAACAAACTCAACCCAGCATAATTCACCATTTAACCCACCTAAAATCAACAATAAATTACATTTAAAAAAAAAAAAAAAAAAAAAAAAAAAAAAAAAAAAAGAAGACATATTTATCATAAATAATATAAAAAAAATTCTTAGAAATGCAGAGATTAAAAAAATTAACCTTTTGCGAACATCAATGGGGTTTTCAAGAGGGAAGAATTGGGGAATTTCATCAAATAAACGATTAGCTCCTCCATCTGCACAAATTCTTAATTTTGCTGTACTATACACAAAAAAAGAAACACCCAAATCAAAAATTAAAAATAAAATAAAACCCTGAAAATTGGAGGAAGAAAACGTACCATGGTCCCATAGAAGAGGGGCAAAACGAGGAAGACGCTGGTTAAGAATAACCATGGCGTATTTTAGCGAAGAACCCGGAATTGGTGGAAGTAGAAAGGATGAAGAGTGTTGCATTACTTCCATATTATTATCACAATAAGAGAATTCAGTTGTTGGGTTTTTTGTTGTTGAATTGGAAGATCAAGGTACTGTTTGTGAGTTCGTCAATGGCTTTTGTAGAGGAGAAAGAGATGTTTGAATGAAAATGGAATAAATATGATGAGATGGCGGAATTGGTGGGACCAAGATTTGATCTTTCGTAAGTCAAAGCGATTTTACTAATTACTATGACCCCCGTGATATTGACAAAACTATGGCTAGGGGTGTTAACGTTCGGTGAGTTTAGGCTCGGCTCGAGCTCGTCGAGCTAAAAAATCAAGCACGGCTCGACCCGAGGCTCGTTCTTTAGATATCGAGTCAAGTACAAAACTTGCTAATTTTCATTAGAGCGCTGCCGGTTAATATAGCATATTAACAAAATATGTCAATATAGTGACAAAGTTGTAATTACACATGAAATTAAGCAAACAACCACAATTCATCAAAGAACAAGGATAAAATTTGGTGAATAATTACTACCTCCGTTACATATTATTTACAACAATTTGACATAAAATAGAGAGAAAAAATGTCTAATCGTTGCAAATAATATGTAATAGAGGTAGTAATAAAAATTGAAATAGTGATTGAAATCCACTAGAGCAATAACATTGTCCGGTACCAATTCAATAAACTTAATGTCCGGTAGCAATTCAATTTACACAACTTAATACAAATAAACATGCAATTAACAAAATCAATCCACAAATTATTTAACTACAAAGGGTGGCATAAACAATACCACCAACAGATAACAGTATAATCAGGTGCAAAAACAGTAAAAAAAATTATTAAACCGAGAGATACCTACTTGGAACTAGCTCGACATTCCCCAGAAGTCGCCGCAAATGCCGCCACATAAATAGAGCTCAGTCCATGTGCAACCACATAAATACGAATTGAGAAATTATAAGGCCCAATACAGGAAATGTCCAATAAGACAATAACCCCCCAAAGCATAGCGTTTTTTTTTTTTTTTTTTTTTTTTTTATTCACGAGCTTTCGATCCGAGCCAAGGTTGGCTAATCTCAAGCCGAACTCGAGTCGAGCCCACTCGAGCTATAAATTTGAGATTTGGGTGGTATTAAAATAAAATAAAAAATTAAATGGGTAGCAAATGTGACACAAGGTGTATTCGTTAGTAGCAAATGTCAAACTTTCCTTATTTTTTACAATTTTTTTTATTATTTATTGTAAAGTAGTTAAATTAGTTAATTGTCTTAGTAAGTTTTATCAAGGATTTAATTAAATTTTTTTTAAAAAATAATATTTAAAACAAATGTCACCATTAATGTTTTAACATGTGGCACATTAACCGGTTATTTACTCATGCAGTAGCCAACAGGTCATGACTTAGAGCCTATTCTCATTTACTTAATTTCAGTTCAATTCAATTTCAGCTCCAAACAATTCAGTTCAGTTCAGTTCAGTTCAGCTCCAATCAATTCAGTTCAGTTCAGCTTCTAATTTCCCTCTCTCATAAAATATTCATTACATTTCAACTTCAATCAGTTCAGTAAATGTGAACATGGCCTTAATATTGGAAGAGTGACCATAAAGTTGTCATTATTTTTGAATTAATTAAAGTTGAATTTAATATTGAAAGACCATCAAATTTCTAAGTTGTTGTTGTTGTTAAATTTTTCTTTTTTTTTTCTTTGTGCACATATGCTCAGAGAATTAGTGAAAGATTTAAAAATTAAAAAATTACACTCTGACCTCTTGGGAAAACAAATCTACTACGTATAATAAGTTAAGTTGGAGCAAAAATCTAAATAAGTTCTACAATAACCTTAGTTTTGTTAATCGTACAAGATTTGCCAATGTGTAGAGTGTTACCTTTGATTAAATTAAAAACGCATGAAATAACAATCTCTCACTCTATTTTAAAGTGTATTAAATTATTTGAACTCTTTTGAAAAAGTGTCTTTTGAACTGAACTGAACTGAACTGAGCTGAACTGAACTGAAATAAATATTTTATAAGAGAAGGAAATTAGGAGCTGAGCTGAACTGAACTGAATTTCAACGTAAGAGATCAGGCCCGAAGTGTTAAAAAACGGAGGAAGTATAAAGTAAATGTTATGTTGATCCACCAAAGGTGTCGGCAAGTCGGAAGATTCATGTATTATTAATTAAACAAAAGAATATGGAAAATAGATGAAAGATCATTGCCAATATTGACATTGTCCATTTGTCATAAATTCGTCACCAGTTATCAGTGCAATCTACACATGAACAATTTAAATAAATAAAAAAAAAAAATCTCTGTTATGAATATATGATGAGGCCGGTCCGGCCGACCGATACGGAGTAATATGTACGTAGGCCTTGGGCAGAAAATTTCTGTCCGGTTCATAACCACCTCTAAAATAGTAAAATACTCCCACCATTTTTTTTAAGCGTCCTATAAGGACATGACATGCATGTTGATGTAAAATTTGAATATATATACTCCTTCCGGTTCTTTTTACTCGCAACAATTACCATTTTTAGCCGTTACACATTACTTGCAACAAATTTTTTTTCTTTCCTTTTATGGTAGGTTTTTTTGTATGATTTTACAAAATTACCCTTACTTTTGTTTTTAAACACCCTAATTAAACTACTGATTTTATCTCCATTAACTTAAACTTTACATTAATTAACTTAATCATTTCCACCAAAATCATTCCCCTCCCAATTAAATTCATGAGCACTTTCAATTGTCAACCACCACCACCACCACCACCACTACCATACCTAGAATTTCTCTCTCTTTCTTCACCGATCTCCCCTCATTGTCGCCGCCTTCCTTTTCTTTTCTTCCATTTTCTTTTCTTTTCTTCCTTGTTGCCACCGTCCTCGTTGTGGGCTTTGTGGGTTTTGTGGGCCAACATCGGTAGTGGGCGAAATAGGTGGTGGGTCGAAATCGGGGTTGTGGGCGAAATAGGTGGTGGATTGTGGGTCGGGGGGTTGTGGGTCGAAATCGGGGGTGGTGGGCGAAAAGGTGGGTGGTGGGTCGAAATCGAGGGTTGTGATAGGTGGGTGGTGCTAGGTCGAAATCGGGGGTGGTGGGTCGAAATCGGGGGTTGTGGAGGAAATAGGTGGTGGGTTGTGGTGCAAAATCGGGGTTGTGGGTCGAAGGGGGTGGTGCTAGGTCGAAATCTGGGGCGGTGCGTCGGTGCCGGGTCGAAATCGCTGATGGGTGGTGGTGGGTTGTAGTGGGTTCTCTCTTTGCTGGTGATGGTGATAGGTGGACAGGGTGGTGGTGGTGATAGGTGGACAGGTGATGGTGTTTCGTGAATTCTAGTTTATGGGATTTCAACTTTGATTTTTTTTTTTTTATTTTTAAAGTAGGATTAACACACTTAAGTGTATGCCCTTATTTTTCATTAATATGGTTTCAATTTTTTGCCTAGGAGTCCGTTCTTCCCCTCTTTGTTGCGAGTAAAAAGAAACGGAGGGAGTATATATATAGGGATTTGCTAGAATGAGAAATAAGAAATGAGAAAAGAAATCTCCACCCTTAGATTTTAGTAACCACCAACGGCTCAGATTAGAACATTAAAAATTCACCCTACTCTTTCATCCCCCTCCCACGTTTCTATTTCAGTTCCTTTTTTTTCAATAAGCTCTTCATTCTCCTTTAATTGATCAATTGACCAAAAAATTATGTGATCGGCAAAAACGACAAAAATTGCACCTTTACAATAGTATTATCTTGCTGCTTTGACCAACAATTTCAATCACAATTGAGGTATGGACTGGTATTTGTTTTTTTTTTATTTTTTTAATAATACCTAGACTTGATAATTGTTGGCTTGAATAATTCTTGTTCGTTTGTTTGCATTTTTTTTTTATTAATATCAAATCAAGTGGTTAACTAGATAGTACATGATTTTGGGGTTTTCTTTGATTGATTATTGTCTTTGTGTGTTTATATGGAATAGGTACATACATTCAATTTTTATTTCATTAATAAAAAATGCTTAAAATTTCATACTCTGTAGTATCTAACAATAGCACACCATTAATGTATTTTTTAATTACATCATCAATTATAATATCTTTTACTTATTCGATACATGTTTATTGTTACCCTTTATGAAGGCAATCAAGGCAATGGATAATGTCAGGCCATCACTAGGAATGATATTTAATAACTTAGATGAAGGAGCAGAATTTTACAAACGGTATGCACATAATATTGGTTTTAGCGTTAGGTCTTCGACGGAGGTGAAAGATAAGAAGACTGGTTTTGTTATATGGAAATATTTTTTGTGTTCTAAAGAAGGTTATAATCAACCTACAAATCAATCTATGAATGGGGGTAAATCTAAAAGATTGAAAGAAACAAGAGAAGGGTGTGGTGCCAAAATCAAAATCAAGCGAACGGAAGAGGGTAAATATGAGATTAAGGAGTTTGTTGAGCACCATACCCATGCACTTGCAACTCCTACAAAGAGACACCTTTTGAGATCGGCAAGAAAGGTTAATTCTATGCATAAGGCTGTTTTATTCACATGTAGTCGAGCCAATATAGGACCTGCCAAAGCATATCAGTTGATTAAATATCAAGTTGGAGGATATGATAAAGTTGGATGTACGCAAAAAGACCTTCAAAATTATCAAACAAGACTTAAAATTATGATCAGTGATTATGATGCACAGATGTTTAAAGAGAATTTTGAAAGAAAAAAAGAACTTGATCCTTCTTATTATTTTGCATATGAGGTAGATGATGAATATCGGTTAAAGTATTTTTTCTAGGCTGATAGCATTGGGAGAAAAAATTATGCCACTTTCGGTGATATTGTCTCTTTTGATACGACATATGGAACAAATAAATACTCAATGATATTTGCTCCAATTACCGGAAGAAATCATCATCGACAATGCATTACATTTGGTGCTGCATTTTTGTGTGATGAGAAAACTGAATCCTTTACTTGGTTGTTTGAGAAGTTCTTAGAAGCAATGGGTGGTCATAAACCTAGATGCATAATCACCGATCAAGATCCAGCAATGAAAGCTGCAATAAAAAATATATTTGATACCTCTTCTCATCGATTTTGCATGTGGCATATTTTAAAAAAAGTTTCTGAGAAGGTAGGTGGAAGTCTTAATAGTAACGAGGATTTTCAAGATAAATTTAAATCATGTGTGTGGCAATCAGAGACTCCAGAGGAATTTGAGCATAGTTGGACACAAGTTGTTAATGAGTTTGAGCTCACAAAAAACGAGTGGTTCTCTTCTATGTACGAGATACGACACTCATGGATACCTGCATACTTCAAAGACTTGTTCTTGGCTGGTTTATTTAGAACAACTTCTATTTCTGAAAGTGAAAATTCAGTATTTGGTAGTCTTACAGATAAGTGGCTCAATTTGGTTGAATTTTGGGTTCGATATGAAAGTATTATCGACAGGCAAAGGCATAACAAAAAAAAATCTGATCATGACACATCACATTCACTTCCTATATTGAAGACAAATCATAGTATAGAAAAGCATGCAAGAGATATTTATACTCATGCAAATTTTTATGTCTTTCAAAAGGAATTTTGGTGTTCTTGTATGTATTGTGGAGTTAAGGAGACCAAAGAGGAAAATGGAAATATAATATTTGAAGTTCATGACAGTAATCCTTAGAAACCAAAGCAAAGAATTGTATCTTATAATACTTTGGACAATGTGGCTCATTGCTCATGTAAGTTATTTGAACAAGATGGCATTCCATGTCGTCATATTCTTTGTGTTTTCAAGGGCAGAGGAATTGATGCAATACCATCATATTATATTGTTCACAGATGGACTAAAAGTGCAACTTGCTCACTTATATTTGATATGGATACTGTTGTAGATGAAGGTTGTTCTCAAATTCAACTTGCTAATATAGAAATATCTGAGTTATGGAAAGATTTTCATGGTTGTGCAGAATTGGTCGGTTATGATATTGATAAAATTCGTGTTTTAAGGAATGGGATCATAGATTTAAAAAAATCTTTGCTCGAGAGTACCAATGTTTGTGTAGATAACAAGACAAATGATTTGGAAGCATATGTGGAGTCTACCATTCCAGTGAAAATTGATATTCATCCACCAAAGCATTCAATAACTAAAGGAAGTGGCAAGAGAATTCCAAGTGGGAAAGAGAAGGCTATTGAAGATAAGCAAAAGCGACAGAGACTCTGTAAATCATGTGGAAAATATGCACAACATGATAGTCGCAATTGCCCTATGAAAGAGGCTTGATTCTCTTCTTTGGTTAGTTATTCCTTATTAACAATATAATTTCTTATTTATGATATTAGCATTATTTTTTTATTTTTTTTATGTTAAACTATTTTATAACCTTTTTCCCTTACAGGTTGGTGCTTGTGATGCTTATCAAGATATAGGCACTTCAGACGGTGTTGGGTTTAATTTGGCTATTGAATGTTTGCAGAGTTATTCCATTTTTTGTCTCACATGGACATGTAATTGATTTTGTGATTGGGATTGAATGACAGATATATATTTATCTTGAATAATTATTATCTGCATTTCTATTTGGTTCAGCTCCATTTTTAGATGCTCCATTGCTATATTGATTTCAGTATACGATTAATGCAATAATGCCAAAACTATAACTCAGGAAACAACAAATTACGACAAACTGATTGTATTCCCCCATATTTTTAAATATATTATAAATGAAATTATATATTATTTATAATATTTATTTGTATTTTTCCGGAATTTAATTTCAAAATTTCAAATTATTTTTGGGGTTGATAAACGGTTTTATTACAAAGAACTTTTTATGAACCTTCCTTCTATAATTTATGTCCAACAAACAAACCAAACCCAGTTTACTTTCTTAATTGACCCATTAATTTCATGAGGCCCAATATCCCTACTTACCCTACTACCCTCTCTCCTATAAATACCCCATACATCCCCAAAAATTTCCCCACACAAAAGGTTAGTCTTATTTTCTTTCTCCTTTGTTTTATTAATTTGTGTCATTATAATTATTGATTATGGGTTTTGATTTTATTGTTTGAAACTAATTTAATTAGTATCAAATTGTATTTTGATGATTAAACTTTATAATTTCAGATTTCATAAATGTTATAATTATCAGATTTTGTAAATTTAATAACCTAGGGTTTTTAATCATTGAAAATCATGATTTTAGGGTTTTTTATGAACAATCGATTTAGGGCTTTTATAGTAATGATGTTTTGAATTTTTGGTTATTATAATACTAATTAGTTTAACTTAATCCCAGATTATTTTGAACACGTAAATTCGTGTTTTAATGTTTAGATTTTGGTTCGTTAATATTAATCCTGTTTTAATCCCGATCAGGTTCTGAACCCATCCGATTTTGACAAAAAATTAGTGTTTTCCATGTGGAAAAAATGTTTTAAGAAAGACTCACTAGTGAGCACACCCTCTCGTGGCCAAATTCAGCCTCTAAATATGATTTTCGGGCAGTTTTTGATTTTTAACGAAGTTTTTTTTATGCTTAATGTTTATAATTTGTTTTGGGTTTTGATTTTATAGTATAAAGTTTATATTTTTAGTATCAAAATCATGTTTTTATGTTTTAAACTAATAATTTCAGATTATAATTGTTGTTATAATTTTCAGATTTTATAATTTTAAAAACCTAGGGTTTCAATTTATTTAAATTGGGATTTTAGGGTTCTTATGACTAATTAAATTGGGGCTTTTGTTCCTATTGTATTTCTAATGCATAATTAACCATAAAAACATGTTTTTAATGAAGTTTTAAGGAGTTTTAATCTAAATTATATTGCTGGAAATTTGGTTAAGTATTAATTTATTATTGTTGCTTGTTTTCTAGGAAGTGATTATTTCTTAGGAGACTTTTAAGTGATTAAAAGTGGTACAAAGGATTGTTTATACGAGGTACGTACATGTCTAATTCGTTGTAAGTAGTATCATGTTTAAGTACCAAAGAAAAGAACTTAGTTTCATGATTAGAGAACACTTGGATGAAAATTGTTTGGTTATACATTTAATTAATTCATTTGCTTATGTTTATGAAACATGTTTTGGTGAATTGATTATGTTTGTATGGAATTATGGATGCAAACATGTTGAATTATATTGGATTAATTGTTTGTATGGAATGTTGATACAAGCATATTTTTATTGGATCGGTTTGTTAACCACATTTGGATTATTAAAGGATTGAAACCGAATGGTTTAAATGGAATGAATTTATTAATTATTCCACAAGGTTGTTATTTATTTTATTTTATTACTCAATCATGAATTGTTTGTATGTTGAGTAAAGGTGGATTAAGCCGAAATGGCTAGGTGAGTTGACTATGTTCAACAATTTGGATAATTTGGAAGTTTAATGGAATTAAAGGTCAACTTGTGATGTGATCACCATTGTCCTAAATAAGATTAAAAGCGAATTGATGTATGATTGTTATGTATGGTCTTCTTGATTGAGTCGGCTATTAATTAAAATTGTAATCACGTAAAGTGAAACATGGACGAGCAATAAAACTCTGGAAAGCGTGCACTTCTAGAGTATTGACAATTATGGGTTGGGGTACACGGTGGTAGCCCGTGGCTTTTCGAGGCTTGTTTGATCAACATGTCCTCTTTTCTTTTGGTATTTACATTTTTATTTTATAATGAAAGTTAGATGGGATCCTAGACTAACTTTGTGAGAATGGAGTCGCGCCCATTCTTGCATCGCGCTAAACTTTTATTTTAAATGGTCATTTGGGACCAAAATGATTTGGTGGATTGGACAACCTCGTCTATTGCTTACTCCAACTAAATTAATTAAATTAAATATAAAGAGTCAAGTGTTTGGAATTGATTAGAAAGTATGTTGAGTCGATTGAATTGTTTAAGTGTGGAGTCTTGAATAATGAATTTATGTTGTATGTTTATTTACCTTAATTAGTTGAGCATGCTAGGCTTGGTACGTTGTAGCTTGTATGTACTCAGCTTTGCTGATTGCGTGCTTTTGTGTGTGTCTTTCTTTGGTCATGGCCTTCGCCTTTCAATGACCCTATGATGATCCAATTATTACACTTGTATTATTGGGGAGCAGTATTGCACAGGTTAGCTTGATGATGTGAAGTTCGGGGATTTGACATACGCATTGTCAAGGGATTAGTGTGATTGAGAGTATTCGTTCTTTGTGTTGAACTTATTTATGTTTTACTATTTTAATTATGTTTTGGGATTTTGAAATATTGGTTTGGTTTTAATAAGGGCCTTTATGGTTCCAATTTGTAAGCTTTGACTTATTGGTTTTCTAAATTATATTATTTTAAGATTTAAGTTGGATTTCCGCTGCAATACTTTGATAAAGCCTTAACGTTTTAACACGTGGCAGTAACATGTCAATGGTTCTCCTCTATTTTTATATAAAGTAAGTGGTTTTAAAAGGGAGAATTATTGGGGTGTTACACTGATAACTGTAGGGAATAGTTTCAAGCCTTTAAAAATCCCACTAGCTTGAACCCCACTGTGATCATACACTAAAGTACGGTGGCGTCCAAAAGGGAAGAAGATAGAGAAAAAGAGTTGCCAACAAGTTTTTAAGGAACTTGTAAACCGTTCACGAGGTGAAGGTTACACCCCTTAACGATCCAAGAGATCGCCAACTCCATAAGGTCATGAACCAAATAAGGGTTCGGGGATGAAGGTACAAATCCAACCTAAAAGAGATTGAACCTGCCCTAATAATAGGCCTCTACTTTATTCTGCTCGTATACATGTGCGCTTTCTGACTAACACACAATCAATAGATTAACCCTAAACCTGTTTATCTATGTTGGTTGAATATTAATGCACAAATAAACTATTATTGGCGATCACTTGAATTATAATCACAATTAACCTAACAAGATTATTAAATATCTTATTAAGCGTGATTGCAAATACCAATTCCCTTTAACCTGCAATAAAAGGTGATCAAGCAATAACAATATATAATAATATGCATATCAAGCAACATAATAATAATCAACATCATTAATAATAATAATATCATAATTAATAATAATCATAAAATTATAACAATTATTATCATAATCATAATCATGTTAAAGCATAGCAAGATCCTAGGCATGATACTAACAAGATTAATAACAAACCCTAGCATGTCACTAAGCAATAAAAATCAAATCTTTAGCCCTAACATGATACTAACATGAATTAATATTAGGAAGAACATAGGAAGCATCATACTTTAAATCATACTCAATATTAAAGTTACCCTAGACATGATACTAGGAATTGAAATAACAATCTAAGCATGATTTCTACATCATAATATCAATTAAACCATAAAGTACTTACTTGGATGCCTCGTACCTCTTTCTAATAACAAAATACACACGTTAGTAACTTCAAGGAAAAATAATAATCAAAACAATTAAATAAAATAATTTAAAGAGAGATTTGGAACCAAACCCTCAGAAATTAAAACCTTTCACGTCTAGGGCGAAGGCAACTTCGAATATGGCTAGGTGTATCAAGATCTTGTGAATGCGGAATTTTGTATTAAAAAGCAAAATAGAAAAGAATACTAAAGAATCAATGTTATTGATGATTGATGAACGAAAGATAATGAATGAAGAGAATTAATGAGAATTGATGAGAATTGATGAATAGATGTAGATGATGAAGATAGTTGGTGTATTCGTGTTGACAATCCGTGAATAAAAACGGAGTTTTGATACGATATTTATAGAGAAAATCAGCCAAAAAAAATAATTTATCAAAACAGAGTCTGAAGACCACAGAACCACCTTGGCGCCAGGACCAGTGGCTAACGCCAGGCGCCAATGGCTGGCGTCTGGCGCCAATCCTGGTTCCAGGCGCCAAGGCCTGGGGTTGGACGTCAAACTGGCTTTTAACGCGTTTTCGAAATTCTGATAAAATTCCCGTACTGGAAGATAAAATAATATAATTTCAGTCGAAAATGCTATTTGATCTAATTAAAACTCTAAAGAATCCTAGTTGAATTAAGAATGATAAGAACCTTCTAGAATGTTCTAGAAGATCAAAAACATTCCTAATTACATTAGGAATGATAAATCATATAAGGCCCTCCCCTAGATCATTGGGCCGTACTTAAAACTCAAACCGGGCCCGGTTTAGTAAATTGGCCATAACTTCCTCAATATTCATCGGAATTGGGCTTATAATATATCGTTGGAAAGGTCTTTGCAAGCCCCATCCAACTACACCACTATTGGACC